ACGTGGGATCCAGGACAGCCTGGTCACACCATAGGGCCCAGGCTACACAGCCACCACGGCAGGCAGCACTGGGTCCCAGGAAAAGCTGTAAACAGATACCACCCAGGGAGAGCCTAAAGGGAAGTACCTGATGTTCCAACCACGATTCGATTAGATAAGATCACTAGATGTCCCTGAGCCAGGACTCACCTATTCCCCTTTTGCCAAGACCCCTAGAAAAATGTCACCCAATCAGAGTTCTGAACCCCAGAAAACCCCTTCCCAACCTCTACTATAATAAAATCCCTACCCCGACTGGGCTGGGAACTCTCTGCTCTCAACCACTGTGTGGGACAGACAGAGTCCAAACTGAAGCCTGAATAAAGGCTCTTGGCTTTTACACACAAGTGTGGACTCCATGCTGGTTTTGGGAGGACCCCTATGATCTGGGCATAACAGTCTACAAAGCAAGTTCCAGCACAGGCTCCAGAGCTACACAGAGAAACCCTGCCTTGATAAACAAACAAGGAAAGAGTCACCCAGACAGTATTGGTTTAAACACATGAAGGGGTTGTGGGGAGGACATGTGAATGTGCTTAAGTCAGGAGTTCCTAAATGAAATGAATTTATAAAAAATGCTGTGGGATCCTCGAGTAGCTACAGCGGCAGAAACGCTGCAGGACCCCAAGTGGCGGCAGGCAGCGGGCCATGTGGTGGCAGGTAGGGGACAGTGGATCCCCAGAGCAGCCAGTCCCAGGCAGGGATGGTGCAGGAGACCATGCCCCTGGTTTCTGTGTGTGGCTTGTCTCAGTCAGTGAGCCACAGGCAGCAGCGGGCGAGACAGACAGGCACACCATGCAGAGTGAGGTTGGACATTTATTTAGTGGGTTGTAGAGGGGGAAGGGAGAAGGGGGGAAGAGCAGGGGGGAGAGAGAGAGATGGAGACAGACAGAGAGAAGAAAGGAGAGAGAGAGAGAGAGAGAGAGAGGGAGACAGAGAGAAGAAAGGAGAGAGAGAGAGAGAGAGAGAGAGAGAGAGAGA